TCTCTAATGTTCTCAAGGACAAATCTAAAAGACAGAAGTAGCCTTGGCTTGATTGAGACAGCTAAATCATTTAATATCTTAATAATATTGTCGATATTAGGTCTAATTGATAATTGAGAGGAATACCATAAGCTGATTAAGATATTGATTGAATATGTTGTCTCGAAGGTGAAATCATTTAACTCTTATTCTTCCTTTTATAAAGCATATTTCAATTAAGCAATACATATGAAGATGGATTAATCACATGTAAACTTAGTTAGGAATAGCCGTATAATTGCTAATATTTCAATGGATCTATTATTATATGAACTTCTTTATATTGAATTTACAATAAATTAAAAATTGTAGCAATCCAAATATTCAACTTTGATCATTCATGTAACAGATGTACCTTTGTTCCGAATATGAATTAAAATAATTGTTTTAATTCATCAATTCCATCATATTGCAATATATAGCACACTCTTGCAGAATTTTGTTAATCAATCTGCTTAATTTATGACTAATACCATTTTATTTGATTTTCAATCGCCTATTAATTCTTTTGATAGCATTTTTATGCACAAATCGAATTCCTGTTTGAGAATAGAATTTACCAATTCTTCCACTATCTCATATACTTATATATTTTTTTTTGATTTTGAATAAATATAACTTTGAAGGTTTTTATTTTATTAGTTATTTTCATGATGCGCAATGAATTCTTTTTTTTAATTTATGGCGTCCAATCTCATTCATTACAATTAGAAAAGAATTAAATTAGATTAGGGCATCTACTTTATACAATTTCCAAATGTACATTTATTTTAAAGGGTATTGCTTACTAAAAAGTTAAGACCTTCCATTCTTTAAGAGTTTAAGATTGATTGGTTATATGTATCCTTTAATATTATTTTTTAATAAGATTTTTCGATATTAATTAAATATTGTATTTGTTTTTTAAATTCAGTTTAATTCAGAGATTATATTCTTCTTAATACTATCAACAATTATTAATTTTTAAAACTTACTTTTTGTTTGGAATAATAGAAATATAATAAAACCATTTTTATATTGGAATGAGTTAGTTATTTTTGAATACATCTATAAAGTAAAACTAATAATTAAGTTTTTAGATGAGATAAATTAACAAGTTTTTTATATTTAACATAGTTCCAAAAAGTAGCTCATTAATTATGAATTCAATTGATCCTTTTAAATATAATTGTAAATTCTCTCTTAATTTTTTACATAAAATTATTTTTTAAAATTTAAAA